TTGATGTGTAGATTCTGCCAGAAGGAAAATCAGCGGGGAGGTGCCACATTGCTTTTCTTCCCGACTGCAACGCTGGTCCCGCAAAGCAAGCAAGAACGTGATTGGTCGATATTCATTGTGTGGGTGGGGGGAGGAGGGGTGTTAGATATAGAGTTGTAGTAAGTAGATAGAGTTCGCTATGATTTAGGTTTCCTTTATGCATAGGGTAGATTCTTTTAATTACATTTCCTTTTTTGTTTTGTGTATTTTATACATTTTGGATTTTCTTGGCGAGCTATTTTTAGAACATGCCCGGCGGGCGCCTCACGTTGCCCCTGCGGGCGACTGAGTGCCCGCGGGCACCGTGTTGGCTACCCCTGCTCTAAACACTAACAAAACAGTGACAATGTATTTCACGAATAAGAAAAAAAGAACCACGCATCCACAGCTTCGTGTGAATGGTAAAATAATTGAAAACGTCAATGAGGTCAAATACTTAGGAGTGATCTTGGATGCCAATTTGACTTTTGAAAGCCATATTAGAAGCATGACTAGAAAGCTGATATATAACATTTTCAAATTTAAACATTAGGAACTCATTAACCATAGAAGCATCGAAAACCTTTTTGCATTCCATGATACTATCACATTTTCACTACTGTATAACCTGCTGGTCCCAAGCAACTAAGACTGCTATGAGACCACTTGAGGTTCTTTATAAACAAGCCTTAAAAGTTATGGATAGAAAGTCATTAAAACACCATCATTGCAATATACTGTCCAAATACAAACTGTTCAGTTTTGATAGTCTTGTTCTACTTTCCCGAGTTCGATTGGTATTCAGAATCATTCACAATTCTACAACACTACCGTTGAGGAGCTTTTTTCAGTTTCGCCGTGAGCAGAGTTGCAGAAACTCCAGATCTGCATCAAATGCAGATCTAACATCCCTCTGAGGCGCACTGCCTTTGGACGATCAGCATTTCCGTTTACGGCCATCAAGCACTGGAATACTCTTCCAGCTGAACTTAAAACCTGTACTGATTTTAACTCGTTTTCTTATGGTGCAAAACAAATGATATTAAGCAACCAGTCATGCCGACATGAATTACACTGTAATCTGAGTTATTTTTATTTGAACTGTATTGTCATACTATATCTTAGATATTTTATTTAAGCGTATTTGAAGTGTACCAAGTATTATGTTCGTAACCTGTATTTAAATCAGGCTTTGTAATTATTTGAGTGACCGAAATCATGTAAGTGTATTTCAAGTGTACTATGTATTAATTTATTGAGCTACTTAAATAAGGTTTTAAAATGGTTTGACTGACAGAGATCATGCAATGTTATTATTTGTTTATTGATTGTTATGAACCTGTCTGAGGACCACAGATGGAAATGAGCTATTATCTATAATCTGGCATATTGCATCTCTTCTCTTTGCTGAGATTAATGTTTTTGTATGCATGGTCCTTCTATAAATAAATACAAACAAACATTGTTGCATATGCCAGCCGAGCACTCACACCAGTGGATCAGCGCTATTCTCAAACAGAGAGAGAAGCTCTGGCAATCCTCTGGGCATGTGAACCCTTCCACCTATATCTCTATGGGTCACACCTCACTGTCATCACAGATCACAAACCGCTCGAACTGATCTTCAACAACCCAAAAGCCACACCCCCAGCTCGGTTAGAACGCTGGCGGCTAAGACTACAACCATACAGCTACATTATCAAGTACAAAGCGGGAAAAGATAACCCTGCCGATTACATGTCCAGACATCCTATTGAGGGAAACATACCAAGCAGATCGTCTCGCATGGCTGAGGAATATGTCAACTTTGTCATTGACAATGTTGTTCCAAAGGCAATGACACTTGAAGAAGTTCAAACAGAAACAAAGAATGATCCTACATTATGTAAAGTGATGCATTTTTTGAGTACAGGACACTGGAGACATGCACCACAGGACTCAGACTACACTGATTATCCAATGCTGAAAGCACTCTACCGCGTACGAAACGAACTAACAGTCAACGCTGGAGAGAATGTCATTCTCAGAGGAACACGGCTTGTGCTACCTACCTCTCTCCAACATAAGGCAATAAGCCTAGCCCATGACGGTCATCTTGGCATTGTTAAGAGCAAACAACTGGTAAGAGAAAAGGTATGGTTTCCAGGCATAGATGAAATGGTGGAAAAGATGATAAAACACTGCATACCATGTCAAGCAGCAACCTCCCAGAATCACATGGAACCACTTAACATGTCTGAACATCCCAAAGGTCCATGGCAAAATGTTTCTATTGACTTTACAGGACCTTTCCCATCAGGTGATTACCTGCTTGTGGTTATTGATGAGTATTCCAGGTTCCCCGAAGTTGAGATACTAAAGTCCACAGCAGAATCTTCTCATCCTATGGTATCCCACATGTGGTGAAAACAGATAATGGACCTCCATTCAATGGACAGCCATTCAAAGATTTCAGCCACTATCTCGGATTCAAACACAGAAAAATAACACCGTATTGGCCGAGAGCTAATGCAGAAGCTGAACGCTTCATGAAAACATTGAAGAAAACAATAACAGCCACACAGACTGAAGGAAAACCATGGAAACAGAACCTCTACAGTTTTCTTAGAAATTACCCTGCATCCCAACACGGTACTACACAGCTGACTCCAGCCGAGTTAATGTTTGGGAGAAAACTCAACACCACTCTCCCTGCTCTTCATGTGACTCAACATCACACACCTGACACCAAACTCCAAGATATTGATCAGCGTGCCAAGCAGCGCATGAAAGAGCATGCCGACCACAAAAACAGAGCTCGACCTTCTATCCTCAAACCAGGTGACATTGTGCTATGCCGTCAGAATATCAAAGGCAAGCTCATGACTCCTTATGGAAGCAAACCTTACACCATCGTGAAGATCAGAGGATCAATGGTGACAGCAGCTCGCCCAGGACATGAGATAACACGAAACTCCTCACACTTCAAACTGCTCCCACCTTCACTTCCTATTGGATCTGACTCAGGAATGAAGAGGATGATCTGGATCTACAACTTCCTGACCCACCAGAGAGGAAACTCATCAGCTCCAAAACGAGAATATCAACCCCAAAGGTCCTGTTCCAACCAGATATTCAATCAGAACAAACAGGAGACCACCACAACGTCTCATTGCTGAAATATGACTTAAAGAAGTCAAGAGACTGCAGATAGTTGAACAATTACAAAAAGGACATTTTTGCTAGTGACAAAGAAGACTCAGTCATTTAAGTTAAAACATTGAGACATTCATTTCTTTATTTGATTACTAAGAATAAGAGACCTTTCTTACTGAAATTCTTATTTACATTTCGTTAATATCAAAAGTCAACGTTCATCTGAAATAAGGGAGGGATGTAATGTTGTGACATACTCTTTGGTCCGGAGTTGTGAATACTCGGAATGTTATATGTGTGACACCAGTTATGATGTAGTACAGAGCGTGAATAAAGCACAGTTAACGATACTCGCTGACTGAGTTGTCTACAATAAAGCAAGATACACACACAAAAGGACAACACTATAGTATCCTATCCATGTGAACATGTTTTAGGTGGGTGATGGACCTAACATCCTAGGGGAAGATTTCTTTTAAAATATTGAAGTTAAAAAGAGACCTATGGATACATCTGTCAACACCCATATGAAACAGAACTGTAAACAGATTTACTTTTTCTTTATTTTACAAATCACTCCCTTTTAAACTGTATTCTTGTTACTGTCCTATAGTATTTCATACCTGATCATTTATTCTCTTATTTTTTAATAACTACAATGATCGTATCAAGGTGTTCCTCGGAAACACTTCTTTACATAAATGGTGACCAAACCGTTTGAGACCCACTGAGATAACTTAAGTTAATTATCTAAACACTGACAGAGTCCTGACCTTACCTCACTGAGCTGTAGGTATCTGAGCCTCTCAGTCTGACAGGAGAGGACTCTCCTCCACACTTCTTGTAGAAACAGCTCTTTATCTCCGTTAGCATAGCTAGCTAACCAGATGCTAACAACAACAAAATGCGCTCGTGCCACACATACAGAGCCGAGCTTGAATGAAACACAGAGACCCAGAAATACTTGTACTGTCTGTATCATATTATTTTCGATGGCTTTACTGTATAATCAGTATAACAGATCGCCACTGGGCTTACAACTAGTCAGCCACGTAATGACAACAAAACAAAGGTCGGGTCATTGGTCAAGCAACACACCAATCAACGAGCAGCAGTGAGCACACCTCAGGCTGTGTTTTTTATTTGTATTCTTCATTTCTGATTTAGTTCACACAAAAAAACATTTTGTGGAAACGTTTTCACTTATTGTATGATAACAAAACAAAAAAACGGCAAAGTGGCAGGGCTTGCCTGCCCTGCGTTGGGGGGGCACAGTGACTCGTTTGGGGGTGCATGGCCCGCGAATGACCCCCCCATGAAGCCGACCCTGTGTTATACACTTTAAGAGCTAAGAAGCTATGCAGTTTCTTGCCCTTAGAACAGCTGGTCTTCCAGTACAAATATACTGTATACAAATGTTACTTCTATTGGCTTTACTAAAGGGCATTCAAACCATGAATACAACTTCAGTCAAAAATTTGCAAACCATTTGATCAGACTCTTATTATCCCCTCAACAGAAACACACTCTTATATCCCACATAGTATGAAATTCAATGATATAATCAGAAGTCTTGCTAGAAGGAGTTACAGTCCAGCCTTCAGTCTGTCATGACTTGTCTGGTTCTATTCTGCCAGCTCACTGGAACAACAGTGTTTACAGTCACCTGACATTACTTCAGACATCAAGCTGCTTACTACATCCATTTCTAAACTGGTGTAATAGGTCATGACATGGCTGAGTGGTTGTTGTGGTGTGTGTGTGTTGTAAATAAATAAAACTAATATGCAAATCTGTGAATATACAAATGTACATATAAACGTGCATCACACAAACTCAGGACTCACCAAACTGCAGCTTCTTCATGGCAGCCACGTATTTCTCCTCTACAGAGCGCAGAACGTACAGAGGCTTGGGTCGACTGGACACCTTCCTCGAACACTCCACCAGCTTCCTCTCTGAGGAAACAAGAATCACAAAGGCTAGAGTGAAACAGAGCAAGGATGCATTCCAGGCATTCCAAAGTGGCACAGTGGCATGAGCTTTGGAACATCTTTCCTGTTTTTTTCTGATCAACCACCTAGAAAATAATATGTTTGATGCAGATCTGAATAACCAAATGTATTTATGAGAAGGATTTTAGTTTTTATGATCGGTTTTTCCTCCCATTAACTTTTATTGGATACAATTAAATTCAGACAGCGTCTGTCTGTCAGCAAGAAAAAAGTTTTACGTCGACAACTTTAATAATTGTCATTTCCATTCAGTCTCATGCCTGGGCAACCAGTTTGATTTTAATGATGTTGTTTTAAAATGTTCCTGAAACATTTAGCCAAATAAAGAGTTCAAAAGACATGAAATGTACAATTCAATACAAATGTAAAAAATACAAATGCAAATAATAAATAACACTTTTTAATTGGTTCTGCCAGTAGACATGGGTCCACAGTACACATTATAAAAACAGAATGCAGGGGGGCGTTCATGTGCAGGTGTTCAACAGCTGGATGGAAGGGAATAAGACGCATGAGTGAAATGTGGATGCAGTTCAAGAGAGGATGCACGCCTGGTTCTAATCTATTGCTAAATGTTTTCCATTGACCTTTAGTTAAGATCATTTCATCATAACTACTCTTTCTAGGGTTAAGAATTCACTTGTATATATTTCCTATACATTCATATATCCGAGCTACAATCCAACCCTGGAAGCAAAGAGGTGCACCCAGAGTGCAGCGGCCATTTATTCAGCTTGTTGAGTGAGCACAGATTCAGTGAAGCTTCAGAGGAATACTTCCTCTCCTCAGTCAATACCGTCCTGCTCTTGCTGATCATGGCTTCTTCCTGACATTTGTCTTAGAGCCTCTGTAATAATGACATTATTATACATCTGTCAAGACCCTCATGTTACACACCACAGAACTGTGTGTATCGATTTCTTCATGTGAACTGACCTGACACTCATCTCTTTCTGTTCCCCCACATGCACACTTCAACTTCATCTAATGGCAAACCCCCCCTCGTCTTATTAAGATGTAGACACTTTGTTCTGCCTGTTGCAGTGTGTGGCTCCACTGATGTATACCTTAGAGCCACAGGTGGCACATTAGGGTGGGTTTGACCTGTGAGAGTATTTGGTCAAGTCGAGCTTTAAAAAACAAAACAGCCGAAAAGCATCCTTGATAAAAATGTAATTAAATCTTCAGAATTTTGGTTAGATACATTATGTTGGTGTCCTTGCACCAGAGGACAGGACACAGACTACAGATGAGTAAGAGAGACACAAATAGAAAGATGGAGATAGGAGAGATCTGGGAAATGATTTCAAGTCCCAAACATAAAACACATCTGGCTTTGTTTTGGCCTCAGGTTAAATGTATGGATGTAAATATGTTACTGAAGTGTTTGCAGACTGTGATTGAAATCTAACTTTGCAATAAATCCCCATGAGTGTGTTTTCTGGGTACCTTGGTTGGCCTGCCGCAGGCTAGTGGTGGCAGCGTACACAATCTCAGCGGTTCTCTGGATGTCAGGCACCAGCAGAGTGAGACCCTCGGGCTCTGGGTCTGAGGTGTCCGTCTTCACCACACCTTTACCCTTATCTTTCTTTGACCTGAAACACACACACATATGTACATTCAGTCATAATGTAATATTGGCTGCTGTTTGATAACTTGTATGTCATTTTGTATGCATTAATACAAAGGTTGGTAGTTTTTCCTTAAGATTTCATACACATGTTTTGGTATAATGCTGCTGAGGGTTTTTAGGTTCACTGATATGATGTTTCTCCTCTTTGACTCGTTATATGTACAGTTGCTACTGTGGGTAAACATCACAGACTGTATCTGAAAATACAATTTGACATACTCAAATCGGTCACTGATATATATGCAGGGAAAACCAGAATGGTGATTATTTGTCAGGTATTTAATTAATACAATGGAAAAAAATCATTGTGTTGATTTACCAGAAAATATACTATATTGTCCCAAATATTAGGGAAGTGCTCTTATTCCTGTTACTTGTATCCTTATCTTTGAAAAGATAAAGGCCTGTTGTCTATATATCATTTACTAGCCATTCTTTAGCCTGTTTATAGAACTAGTCTTTTGAATGAGGCAGATTTCATTATTTTGACACAACTAAGATAACGTATGACTTGAAGCTAAAAACAGCTAATCATATACAAGTTGTATACAGAGATGTAAAATGGACCTTAGGACAGCTTCATTATTCTCTGTTGTCTCTCTGACTTATGAGGAATGGAGACATTCATACTCAGGCACTATTGGGACTATAGGGACGGGTGGCGCAGTGGTCTGGGCGTTGGGGAACTCCGTTGTGTCCTTGGGCAAGACACTTCACCCGAATTTGCTCCTGTGGGTATTGTCCACAGTACATGTATGATATTAATGTGTACTTGTAAAAGCGCCTTGATGACTTCGAGGTGTGAAGATGGCCGGTGTGGCGCAGTGCAATGGCACTGTGGCACTGTGGCACTGGCACTGTGCAATGATTATCAGATCTGCGTCTGTAAAGCCACTTCACCTGAACTTGCTCCTGTGGGTATTGTCCACAGTAGATGACCATTACATGTATGATCTGTATGTGTATTTGTAAAGCGCTTTGAGTGATTATTATAAGGATTATTATTATTATTATTGGTATGTATTTATGCAGAGTATATCATGTAAACTTGGTTCAATACGTATAAACCAAGCTTGCATGAGCTTTGTGTGCTGGAGATGATGTGGTCCCATCTCTTATGTTAGGGATGTGTTTAAGATACAGCTCTTTCTGCAAAGATCAATGTTTTTTCCTCAGAAAATTGAATTTTTATGGTGAGACTAACGACTTTTCCTGCAGTTATAAAAACACACAAAACGCTTCTGCACTTTTCCTGACCACTGCCAAAAGCAGCGGAGTTTCTAAATCTGAATGTCACTCAGGGTAAATTCATATACCCATGGAGAGAATTGGAGGAAAAGGTTAATAATAGAAGAGCCTGTTTGCCTGGAGAGTTGGGGTAATGGCTAAATCATAGTAGTATATTCCGCCCAAAATATAAAATAATTAAATGTATGTGTAGGTATAGACCTCTGTGCTGTGTGTATTTTGACCATCTCACCTGAGACGATTGGTGTATGTGTCCACGCATGTCTTCATCTTGGCCAGCAGCATCCCTACAGAGGTCTGTCCCTCTGAGTGCTCTTCATCCTCGTCCTCCTCGGGGTCTCCTGAGAGAGGCAGCAGCAGAGGGACCAGGGTGGTGCAGGTGGAGGTGGCCCTCAGCAGCTCCAGCAGCGCCCGATAGAGAGGCACATGACGAGCCATATCCAGGACTGCAGCGAGACCACAGGATACAGTGTGTGAGTGTTAGATGCTCCAAGAATAGGGCAAAACATTAACTGACTTTCTTTATTTCCCAATAAACAGATCTCTACTGCCCTACAACAGTGATAGTATTGTAAGCAAACATTGTCATGATCCAGAACCTTCATAATCAAACATCTTAGTCACAGTAGCTCAAAAACAATAATAAAAATGAAAATGTGCCGGAGGGCAGGTAATATCCTTAGTGACCCCAAAATATACAGAGGGGGGGAAAGATGACTTTTAGTGAATTCAAAGCAACAAAAAAGACTGACTCATCTATAGCAATAAAGATCAGTGCTGCCACCGGTGGCCAGCTCTGATACTACAATAACATGTCTACTTTAAACAAATATTGAATAGCTAGAGACAGAAACAGAGAGCTAGAGAGAGCTATAAATAAATAAATATATTTATATAAACCCAAACTCACTGGTCACTTTATTAGGTGCACCTGTTCAACTGCTTGTTAACGCAAATATCTAATCTGGTCAAGAGCACCTGGTGAAGTTCAAACAGAGCATCAGAACGGGGAAGAAAGGAGATTTAAGTGACTTTGAACATGGCATGGTTGTTGGTGTCAGACGGGCTGGTCTGAGGCTGCAGCCACACGAGAACGGTAACGGTCGTATCCGCTACAGTTCTCTCATATAGACCAGGGGTCTGCAACCTGCGGCTTTTTAAGCCCTCTACTCTGGCTCCCTTGAGCTTAGACAAAAATAAGAAGGAAATAAAATACAAATATTTGTTGGACTATTTATATGTTGTTGCACGGTTGAAAATGTTTCGTATCTTGTATTTTGAGGTGATACTCTGACACATAAATAAAAAAATAAACAGTTTTAATTAGGTCAACTAAAATATGCGTCATATCCTGCTGCAGTCCCGCACCAGCGCCTTTTCTTGCAGGCGAATAACCTGTCCCCCGGCTCGATGAGCGAACTATGGATAAATCAAAGAAAAGTATCGCAGGAACACAGGATTTAATTCTGGTGGTTAGCGTTATATGCTTTCACAGCAACCGATGCTGGCTTACCGGTAGAGAAGTTGTCAAAGGTGCTGCAGCCTTTACGTATTGGAGGAAAAACACAGAAGAGGAAGACAGCTAACGATGTTCAGTCATAATTCAATCAGTTAACTCTTTTTAGGGTGCAGCTATATGTTTTATTTATTTTAAAGTAGGTCTGTGTCTTTTTATTTTAAATTCTCCTTATACGAGTTCTTTGTTTATTATTAGAGGAAAGTTTTTTGTAATGTAATAAATAATACATCAGGGTATATGCAGGAATCCTGAAGTCAAATGTAAGACCTTTTTTAAGAGCTTCTTTAAGACCCTTTCCATACATTTTAAGACCTCATCGCCACTTCGAGATTTAACTGGTTGTTGGGGAATATTTTCCAAGGCCCATAACTGACCCAGTTTATCAGTTCAAACTGTCCTGACTGAGCACACGCACCTCGTAACCTTGGCTGCTGTGCTCTCAGTGTTCTGTCTCCCTGTTCCTGCCTGTTGGCGTCAGCTGATAGAGGTGTTATGATTTTATCTTGTTATGCAGCAGTTTGATGATGCTCTCAGAACTAGCTAAATACATGGGTCTGGGGTTGAGTTCTCCAGAATTGACGTGGCAACTCTCCCGTGCAGTCAGATCGTGACTGCTGTGACTTGTGATGTGAATCCTCCGGCCGAAACTCCAAATAAATCATCAGTGTTTGACATCAGAGCTCCTGCTCTACCGTGTCTCCTTCCTGAGTCGGTGACTCCCACTGCATTGCTGCACAGAAGTTTCCCTTACACCGGTTACATTGGCGACACACTTTACCTCACATTGACTATATACAGTATTGATTGTCCTTCCTCCTTATCTTCCAACCATTTGGACGCAGACTTGCATTTCCCCATAACGATGTTGTTTAACAACCGGCACAAACGGACCTTCACACGCTATCAAGCAGTGAGCGTGCGATGTCCTGTTCAGATGACGTCAAACCCAACAGGATGCCATCAATAAACTACACAGAATCACACTACACACCTACGCAATGATTACATTCAGGCAGACTGTAGAATACAACCTCTTTGGACAATTTATATACTTATTGACAACAAGCTACAAAATGTAATACAAGGGTGGGGAACCTCCGGCCAGAACCGTATACGGCCCGCGAGACCATTTGGTACGGCCCTCGAGGTAATTTATAAACACACGTAAAAAAGAAAAAAATTAAAGAAATCTAGACGGAAAAATAATTAAACAAGCTAGTGCCTGTTTTTCCTGGCCAAGGTCAGGGTCCTTGAACACAACACAATTTTAACATGTCATCACGTGGTATATGTCTCGTCTGACAGGGGTTTAGTTCTGCCGGAGAGCACCAGAACGCGGCTCCGGTGTAGGTACCATATCTGCACGGCCTACCAGATTAGCACGGGGTCCGTTACGCTTACTAATGACGTCACGCATTGGCTGTACGGCAACCCAAGAGGACATTTCACACGGCCAAATTCCGCAAAGAATATTAAAAAATAACAATCAACAGTGAATGTATGTTAGTGGAACTGTGTCAGGAAAGTGAAGTGTTAATTAAGTAATGTTATTGAAGAACTGAAATGCATAAAATTGAAAGTTAATATGTATCATATCCCTCCGAAATATGGTCGTAGACTTTACTGATGATTTAGAATTTATTGAAACTCCAGACTCAACATAAGAGCTTGTGCCTCTTCGGGGGGTGCCAACATTTAAACATAAACTTTATTCTTTACTTTCTCCGTCTTTATGATATCAGATACCGTCATGTTGTTTCCATAGCAACAACAACTTCCTGTCAACAGCTCCTGTTTCACCTGCTTAATACAGTTATCATCACTGCTACTGTGGTCACATCGGGGACCCGTAACATTTACAATGTGAAGGGGGTTATGTTTTTTTGTCTGTGTTCTGGGTTCCTGCAGTTTTTTTAACAGACAGTACACACACGTTCAGATGATGAACGTGTTGTCTGTGGGAGATTACGCTGTTGTTGCTATGGAAACACCAGATACCATTTCGGAGGGATATGATACATATTAACTTTCAATTTTATGCATTTCAGTTCTTCAATAACATTCCTTAATTAACACTTCACTTTCCTGACACAGTTCCACTAACATACATTCACTGTTGATTGTTATTTTTTAATATTCTTTGCGGAATTTGGCCGTGTGAAATGTCCTCTTGGGTTGCCGTACAGCCAATGCGTGACGTCATTAGTAAGCGTAACGGACACCGTGCTAATCTGGTAGGCTGTGCAGATATGGTACCTACACCGGCACTTAAAAAATTGCATAAGGAGTCGTACACATGCCGCAGTTTTTGCGTGGCTGTGTCTTTAGTTGAAAGCCCAGTGGCGATCTGTTCATCTGTCATACTGATCATACAGTCAATAACTTTGTTGTTATTAGCATCTGGTTAGCTAGCTATGCTAACGAATATAAGAAGCTTTTTCTCCAACCAGTGAGGTAAAGGCACATCTTTATATGATCATTATAGTTATAAAAAAATAAGAGAATAAAGTAAACGGGTATAAAATACTATATGACAGTAAAAAAAAGTTGTTATTAATAAACAAGAATAGAGTTTGAAAGGGGAGTGATTTGTAAAATATCCAAAAAGAAAATCTGCTTCCAGTTCTGTTTCATATGGGTGTTGAGAGATGTATCCATAGATCTCTTCATGTTGCTCTCAAAGTGCACCAGATTGATGCTTTTAACTTCAACATTTAAAAAGAAAATCTTCCCGGGAGAGCATGTACCCGGAACCCCCTAGAAGAGGTTAGGTCCCCCCCCCCTCCCCCACTTAAATCATGTTCACATGGATAGGAAACTAAATTGCACACATCTTGTGTCCATATCTTTCTGTTGTGGTGTTCATACCACAACCGTGCACGTGCATGCATGCGTGAGTCATGGTAAGATATCTGGATTAAGAGGTTGCTTTTTCTTTGCACAGCATGAAAGAAAGGCCAAATGAATGGGCTGTGATTTTAGTATTTTTAAGCAGAGGTCAATAATTTGTACGGCCCACGGAGGATGCTGAAAAAATGTAAATGGCCCTTGAGAGGAAAAAGGTTCCCCACCCCTGCTCTAAATAAACAGCTCTTGTTCGGGGCTTGCAGACTGTTTTACATTTATATTGAAATTCCCCGCTATCCACTGTCGTCACTCAGCATCTGCACTGACCTCCCAGAGCTTCAACCTCATCGCAGATCCTTACACCGTGTCTTTGGATGACACCTAGCATGGAATCCTAGTCCCTTTTAGTTACCTCGATGTAATTACTCTGTGTGCAACTCATCAGAATTCCTCCTCCTGCTGCTCTGTTTCAATGTCACAGTTTTTTTCTACACTTTGGGGAATAAATGTCACTAATGAAAGAGAAAATAATAAAAAGAAAGGACACAAAATATTTGTATATATTTGCGCTCATGTTTTGTTTTGTTCTTTAGCCATGCATGCAGTGTGTTTTAGCAATGGTTACATTGGTCATTCAACTATTCATGGTCCCTGGAGGCTAATCCATCATTTAGATGTAAATGATAGTACTTTACCAACGAATATAAACATATCAAAGTCTCCTCATCTTATTTACAAATGATAAAACAATGAACTATTTACAAGGCTTCCAAGGGGATACACAAATATAGTTTCTAAAAGATATCACAAAACTATGCAAACAAACCGCCATGAATTGTTGTTATTAACCTTATGATACAAATGATTGGTAATGGTTTACTATCTTTTTCGCTTTTTCCAACTATTTCAACAACCGCCTGGTACAACACTACAAAAAAAAGTCATATGCACTGGCTTCTCATTTCTTGCCTCTGTAAATAGTCATATTTCCATGAAATTAAAGAAACACCAATTTGGAGCCTGAACAGTGATTCAGAGCAAAGAGTAAGGAGGCTGTTCTCCTCTGAGACACATGAAAAG